ATATATATATTGATTATTGAGGAGTTTACTAATTAATAAAATATGAAGTATTAAATAGAATATATATAAAATGTAATAATAGTAAAAGCCTATTCACTAGAATATATGTATGTTTGTGTAAATGTTTAATTTAAATGTTACTATTAGTTTCATTAATTTTATATTTATTTTTAGTTTAATCTATATAGAAGTTTTAAAGTTGCTATAAATACATGGATTTATTTTTTTAATAAATAAACAACAGGTGTTTTTTTTTAGCTTTGTTTACTACACAAGCTTCAGTTCCACAAGCTTCTGGAGATCGTAAGTATTTGATGATTTTTGAAGACTTTAGATTAATTACTTGTTATAAGTTTAAGTTAAGATGTTTTAGAGTTTGATCAAAAAATATTTTGGACTAGAGTTGAAGGTGCAAATCTTTGTTTCATAAGATGCAAATCCTTGTTTCATAAGGTGCAAATCCTTGTTTCATAAGGTGCAAATCCTTGTTTCATAAGGTGCAAATCCTTGTTTCATAAGGTGCAAATTCTTGTTTCATAAGGTGCAAATCCTTGTTTCATAAGGTGCAAATCCTTGTTTCATAAGGTGCAAATCCTTGTTTCATAAGGTGCAAATCCTTGCTTCATAAGGTGCAAATCCTTGTTTCATAAAGTGCAAATCCTTGTTTCATAAGGTGCAAATCCTTGTTTCATAAGGTGCAAATCCTTGTTTCATAAGGTGCAAATCCTTGTTTCATAAGGTGCAAATCCTTGTTTCATAAGGTGCAAATCCTTGTTTCATAAGGTGCAGATCCTTGTTTCATAAGGTGCAAATCCTTGTTTCATAAGGTGCAAATCCTTGTTTCATAAGGTGCAAATCCTTGTTTCATAAGGTGCAAATCCTTGTTTCATATATAGTAGTGTGTAGTAATGACTGAGTGTAAAAGGTGCCAACATTTAAAGCACTCCTTTTAAGAAACTACCATCAACAATAGTTCAGTTAAAAGCTGATTATCCTTTCTTTATTTTCCATCCTCCATTTTACTTATTATGTTCTTTTAAGTAAAGTTAAATAAAAACAATGCATACCAAAACAATAATACTTAATTTTTTTTTGTATATTTCTATTATATTTCTGTTGAATTGTTCAGCCTCAAGTTCTTGTTTATTTATCAAAACTTCTGTTGGATTTTAAATCCTCTTTAGTTGAACCAGATATTTTACTGATTTCATGAGTATATCTTGTTAAGGTGGGTATTACGTTTTTCTCAAATGTCTAAAAGCAAGAAGTAGCAGCCTCCCAATCTTTTAATCCACTTTTTTATAACTCCTTAGTGTTTTACAGTATTTAAAATGATAGCGTCAATGCACAGACAATGTAAACATCATTATAATTGTTAAATAATTATCCAACAAATTAACAAATTAAACATAAGTTAGCTTCATACAATTGACAAACTGCAAATTACATCATACAATTGACATCAAATAAACACTTTACCAATGTTTGTAACTTTTTGATTTGATTGAAACAATTTTTAAATTTTATCTAAAAGTCCAAACCATTACATTATTTTTTTTTTGTGTTTAAAAGTTTTGAACCACTCTAATGTATGAATTTGATGACTTTTAATGGAAAGAATATGTCAATATTATTTAAATTTTAAATCAAATTTTAATTTTAATGAAAAAATGTTGGTATTTTTTGTATTTATGTTTACTTACTTTTTAAATATTTATATTTGCTTATTTTTTAATTGTTTAGACAAAACATCTATTATCATTGCAGCAATATTAGCTCCTGTTTCAATTTGCTTTTTATTTGTTACTGTTGTCCTGATAATAATCTATAGAAAAAAAATTAAATCTGGAAAAAAGATTTGGGACTCAGATCAATATACAATGGAGTGAGTATAATGTATTCCTTCATTATTAGGGTTGCCAGACATCTGGCTTTCACGAAGGAGAACACATTTAAAAAGTTTATTTTTACATATTTAGTGTACCCTAACCCTAACCCTAACCCTGACCCTAACCCTGACCCTAACCCTAACCCTAACCCTGACTTTGTAAAAGCCGGGCGACTAGCAACCCTATACATTATCATATATCCATCAAGTTATATTAAGTTATTTATAAAAAATTTGTTCAAACTGTTTTAACTTTTTAACTATTAGTTATACTATTTTTTTTTACTTTTATTTACTATTTGAATCTACATCAAAATAAATTTGAAATCTTTTGTTTGAACTGTAAAATAGACTTAATAAAAATAAACTTTGAACTGTAAAATAGAAAATGAATTTAAAAATTTTTGGATGATTTTTTTCAAAGCACAAAAATTTATTTATTTTTTAAATCAAGTAACACTTTTTAAGTACTACTTGAAATTTTTTTCTATGAAGAGTGTTTCTTTTTAAGTAAAGAAAGTGGAAGTAAAGTAAACCCAGTGTGTCATATCTATTATGAAATGTGTCACTTTTTGTGCCATGACAATCAAGGTTTGTCATGGTACAGCAAAGCAGAATATCAATTAATAGCATTCATCAAGTCATATATATATATATATTTCTATATATAGTTTGTTTCTGAAGTTTTTTTTCTCAGTTTGGTTTGAAATTTGATGCTAGCAGGGAGTTATAAAAGGGTAGGTGAGTTTGAATTAGTAGAAATTAGTATCAACAATAATATTGCCTAACATTAAGTTTCGCTTAATAAATATGTATTTTTAAGAGTTCAATTTAAAGAGGTTATATAATTTAGTGTCTTCTGAGTATGGTCATTTCTAAAACTTGTTTTTTTTTTCTGATAAAATATATAAAAGGGTAATAATAAGGCCTTAAATCAGTCACTCTTTTAATATTCATGTTGAATGCTTTTTTATTTCAGTTGGTAGGTTAAAGGTACTTTAAATGATGCTGTTTGACATGGCTAAGATAAAAGGCAAATGGTTGTGCAAGGAAGATAAGAATCTTTTTAAATAGTTACTAACAGCCAAGACAGGGTTGGTTGTTTTACTGGCAAATCTGCTAGTTCAAAAATCATCTGTCCATCAGTGAAGATGGCTGTGAAAGCAACTGCTTTTGGGCTGCTCACACTAGGGCTCAAAGTAGATTTACGAGTCAGGAAATAGATACACGCTCAATACATTATGCAATAGACAGTATGTATTTAATTACGGGCTCCTCATTTCCAGTAAAAATCTAATTCTCAAGAATGTCCCGGATTCTTGAAAATGATTAAATTCCCGGAATCCCAGGATTAGGTAACAAGCAAGAATCTATCCAATTAGTTAGGGGAAATGTGTAAATTCAAACAAATACAAAAATAAACACCTTTTTAATACTATTACTTTTAACAAGAAAATAAATACAAAATAATTCTTAGAAACTAAAACAAAACAAATATAAACTTCAATAACATTATATTTTATATAAATTAATTTTTAAAATAATTTTTTAAAAAACATAAATTGTCAATAGCACTATCACTTAACATCGACTGAATTTTTGTAATAAAAAGACCGCTGCCGAAAAAGCTTTCTCTGAATGGATTGATATCGGTGGGATATTTAATAGAACATTATATAATTTTTCTAAATTGTTTGTACACCTTTTTGTTGCATTCAAAATATCCGTTTCTTTTGTAATATTTTTAATGTTATGTATTACATCTTCTGGACTCTTGATTCGACTAACATTCGTAATGGCAGCATCCAATTTTTAATGAAGTGTTAATTCAGATGATGTCTTCAAATTTGGTTCAGCCATAAACAATGTTTCAGTCCATCATTATTGCATTCTAATTCTTCAATTTCAGTGGAATTTCCACCACCATCAATAATCTCAAAAAAGAGCTTAGAAAATAATTTTTTAACCGTAGCTTAAAGGACTAATTTGGAAGGCAATAATAATAACACAGAATCTCCAATAGTAGTACAGAATCTATGTCTGATAGTGATACCCAATAATAATACAGAATCTATGTCGATTCGTGTTTATAATTTGGTGGATTATTTAAATATTTTAGCAAGCCAACTAAATTTTTATTTCGTCTTTCAACAATTCTCTGTTGCACATACTGCAGCATTTTAACCGAAAAACAATCTTTATTTTTGCTAACATTATATAAAATAATATAAACTAATATAAACACTAATACACCCTCTGCATCAAGTAGGGATGCAGAGGGTGTTATTATTTTCATCAGAATTCTGACTCTCTGATGCATTACATTCACTGCCCGATGAATTTAAAATTACTGATTTTTTGTAGAGAATATCACAAACTGCTAAATGTAGCTCATGTGCATAACATAGTTGATGTTCCATCTCACATAATCTTCCATATTTTTTTATAACTGATGCACCATCAGTTACACTAGAAATTATATGCTTCTTTGTATATAAATTAAATTTAGATAACTTATTTTCAACCATATCAATAATTTTTTCAGCTGGAAGCGAACCAACTATTTGAATCATGCCCAAGTTCCAAAGCCTAGTTATTGAATGCATATTTAAATTCAGATAGCAGCAATTTTTTGAAGATGTGTATTTGTCCATTGAACTAGAGAATCTTGAGCCACCTTGAATTTGCATAGTAATTTCTTTAACCACTCTTTATTTTACTAGATGGTATTGACTTTTTACCAAATTCACTACATGTGAAAGGTTTTATTTTGGCAATATCATTCCTTTATCAGATAAAGATTTCCTTGTAAATTCAGGTTTTGCAATAGCATTAATAGAAAAGCCATCTACAGCCACCAATTTTGAAACAATTTTTTCTATAGATTCTTTTTTTATAAATGACATAATTTTAGGTTGAGCATTTTTAACTTTAAAACTTGTGTCTTTGTTTGGCCTTTTTTTACTTCAGTTTTAACTTTCTTGTGAAGATTTTTTAAATGACGAAGAAGACCACTTGATCCTTTACACATTGTTGTTTTACATATATTACAATTGGCAGATTCTGAGTTTTTTTCTTTTGTAATATTTTGCTATGCCTTAGATTCACTTGACATGATGCGGTATATTATCCTGTTAATTAAATAGATTAAAATATACTAAAATATAAATATAAAACTATATTACTTACAATCAAAACCCGAAATAGCGTGCTTATATTTACATAAATTGTTTTAAATAAGTTGTAAATACTAAACATATATTTTAAACTTCACTTTCTTGGTTTTTCACTCCACTTTTTACATACTAACTACTTTCTTAATGTAACTAATTACTTAACTTACTAATTACCAACTTTTATGTGTAACTAATTTTTTTTTTTTTTGTATGTACAAGTACTTGTAACTTGTTCATGATTATTTTATATTTATCATACCATGGACTCCTCTTTATTCATTGTAATTTCTTGCAATTGTGATTATTTATTAGATTAGTCACTAATTTTTTTTGCAGTTTTGGTTTGTGCTTAAGATAGATAAAATATATTGAATTTGATTTATAAATTGATTTAGTTTGTTTATTTAAGTTTCATATGCTGTAAGTTACAACATATAAAATTTAAATAAGTAAATCAAATCTATTTACAAATCAAATTCAATAATAATATTTTATCTATCTTAGACACAAACCAAAACTGCAAAATATTGGTGATTTAATTGTCTTCTGTAATAAATCTTCCTAATTTTTATATCTTCCTAATTTTTATATCTTCCTAATTTTTATAGAAATTCACAAAATTCACAAAATTAGTACTCAGATTTTGAGTAATATTTTTAATAACTTTGTAAATTTTTAAAATATGTTTAAAAAAATTGCCATGATTCTCTGGAAATTTCATTAAAGTCCTGAGATAACGGGATGGTTTTTTACCTCCAGGATCCCGGGAAAACAGCATCTCATTTGAGAAACCCTGACCCACTCTAGCCAGCTCAGTGCCACATGAATTTCCTAAAAGTAGCACAGACTCATTCATTGGTAAAAGATATTCCTTGCGATGTTAATTATGTACCATCAACAAGAAGAAGAAAATATAACCCAACAATCATTGCAAGCTTCTTTCAAGCTAAATGCTGTCATCTTTTGAAGCAGCAAAGTTGTACTGTTTAACTTTCTGGTGAGGGCCTTGAAATACCAATCCCATATCATTAAGCTATCATTAAATCCAAAAACAGCTGCTCAGTTAAAGACACATCTAGTGAGCATGCTTAATCCTGAGAAATGGAATATTCACTCTTCAGTGAACACATTAATGACTTTAAGTATTAGACAGTAGTTCTCGAAAATAAAGCAAAAAAGTTAAATTATTGCTTTAGATAAGATAGGGAAGTTCAAACAATTGCAGGATGGCTTAGAGATAAGTTATAGAAGTTCAACTAGTGATGACTGATAATTGTTGTCCACACAACTTGTTTGATTTCTGGCTTTATCATGAACAATGACCTCCATGGGTTGACTTAATCTCCAAAACATAATTTTGGAGGTTTAGTCAAGCCATGGAGTTTCAACAACATGAAGTTTTTCTACCACCTAACTTGTTTCTTATGTCGCTTCATTGTGGTGGATTAGAGTCTTCTTGTGTTTATTATGGAGCCTGAAGCCCAGAACATTAGAACGTGTTACTACTCATGGGGTACATTTACATTAAAGTTTTCATTTAATTGGTAAATATTGTTGTCCTCATCTGATGTGTCAGAAGATTTTAAATTAACTTCTTCTCCATCAGAACTGCCTGATTTCTGCATCATGAAAGATAACCTTCTTCTGAGATTCATTCTGTCAAGATTTTAAAATATTGTGCTAATTATATATATCTATATCTAGATATACATATATGTATATATATATATATATATATTTTTTTTTTTTTATTTATTTATATATTTATATATATATGAATCGCAAACTTGAAAAAGGGGACATGTCCTGCAAAAATTCACATAACATGTCCCCTTTTTCAAGTTAGTGATTCATATATATATATATATATATATATATATATATATATATATATATATATATATATATATATATATATATATACATATATATATATATATATATATATATATATATATATATATATATATATATATATATATATATATATATATATATATATATATATATATATATATATATATATATATATATATATATATATATATATATATATATATATATATATATATATATATATATATATAATATATATATATATAAGAAATAAGGGTTAGTTATCATAGTTGCTATTTCAGAATGTTATGGCTGGATAGATGCAAAAAAAATTTTTATATTATAAAATTGGTGTTGAAAGATGACTCTTCAGTTGATTTCATGAAATTCGCGCCAATAGTTTTTCAACAAATCCAAAAAAAATAAAAATTTTGTTGGTAAATAACTTTTTAACTTTTTTGTTCAAATGTTCAATACAGTAACAATATGCAATATTTGTGTTTATTATATTTATAGTTATTATGTTTATAGTTTTGGAAATTCTTTTGTTGGTATGCTAGTCATTTTTCAGACTTATGGCAAGGATAAAAAGTTATTAAGGTCAAACCTTCCTCTACCCCATGTGGGGCATGTTGTCCTATTTTAAAGGGGGCAAATTGTCTTATAAAAAAGTTGCCTCCATACTCTTATATAGTTATAAAACAGATGCTAATAAACTGGCTATGCCAAAATTATGAATGGAAAAAAAAATCTAACATTGTCTATAAAAGCTCCAGAGGCCTCAAGTATTGCACGTGCCTTAAGTTTTAAAAAAGATAATGTTGAAATGTTTTTCAATAATCTTCAGGTGTGTCTTCAACACCACCAATTCACACCAGTAGATAATTGGAACATGGACGAAACAGTGGCAACTACAGTTCAAAAGCCTGATAAAGTGATCTCAAGAAAGAGCCAAAGCAGGTTGTGGCAATAACCTCAGCAGAAAGAGGTGCTTTAGTTACTTTGGAATGCACTGCCTCTGCTATTGGTAAATTTATTCCATATTTTCTTGTATTTCCAAGAGTCAATTTTAAGACCATTTTTTAACTTCCATCTGGTTGGATGAAGGAAGACCGTTTTGTAAATTTCTTTTTGCAAAAGAATGCACGGTCTTCAAAGGAGCATCCAGTTTTGCTACTGGTTGACAATTACTTTTAACACTTATTATTGAATGCACTAGACTATGCGACAGCAAATGGAATTATCATGTTAAATTTTCCACCCCATTGCACCAACAAGTTGCAGCCACTAGATAGAACTGTTTATGGTCCTTTTAAAAAGGCTGTAAATACAGCCATCAAAAATTGGATGGTCAGTAACCCTGGAAAAGGTATGACAATTTATAATATACCAGAAATATTGAAGGTTGTCTTTCCATTGCGCATGACACCAAATAACATACTGAGCGGCTTTTATTCATGTGGCATCCACCCATTTAACCCTCAAATATTCACAGATTTGGACTTTACTCCAAGTTCAGTATCAGAAATACCTATGCCAGTTAAAACCAATTCTTAATTAACAATGCCTGAAGCTTCAAATGTTGAAGTCTCATCAGAACCATAAACTTTTGCTTCTAGTTTGACTTTGTCATTACAGGAGCCTTCAACATCTCAGAAGTAAAATCAATTTCTGAATGTTCTGTGCTTGCAACTCCAGATAAAGAAAGGCCATTACCAAAGGAGCTAAAAAGAAAACCTTCAAAAAACACACACAAGAAGAGAACTTTATCTATATTGGCTGATTCCCCTTTCAAAAATTCTGTGAGCACATCACAGCCACTGCCAAAAAAATGCAAAAGTTCTGCTAAAGGAAATGAAAAAAGCAAAGCAACAAAAAAATATACAAGAGACTTATCACCATCAGAAAATGAAAAATACAATTTTGATGAATATATAGCAGGAGGCTCCAGCTACATTTGTCATAATTGTGACTCTGGTGATTTTTAATGGTCATTTTTAAAGTGTTTTAGTGTATAATTATATATGTTATTTTTCATAAATTATAAATGACTGATATAACACTTGTTTTCTTTTTTAAAATATTTTTTTTTACCTTTTAGACCTACACTTGTGATAAAAAATAATTATGACAACTTGCCCCTCTTATCATGACATGACAAATCATATGTTGCTTCAATTTGAGATTTGATAAAAAAAAATGATTGGAGTTTTTCAAATTACTTTTTTTGTGTGTGATTGTTGTTGTTTTTTCTGATAGCTAACGCTAAGATGCTATCAAAATGTTTTTATTTATCTCAGCCAGAGTTAAGTAATTGTAATCAAGAGTAATTATAATACTGCCTCCAAATTTATATATATATATATATATATATATATATATATATATATATATATATATATATATATATATATATATATATATATATATATATATATATATATATATATATATATATGTATGTATGTATGTATGTATATATGTATATATATATATAAATATATATATGTATATATATATATATATATATATATATATATATATATATATATATATATATATATGTATGTATGTATGTATGTATGTATGTATGTATATATATATATATATAAATATATATATATATATATATATATATATATATATATATATATATATATATATATATATATATATATATATATATGTATATATATATATATATATATGTATATATATATATATATATATATATATATATATATATATATATATATATATATATATATATATATATATATATATGTATATATATGCCACAAACACACACATATGTGTATATATAAATATATATACACAAATATACATTATTATTGTTTTTGCTAATTTTTTTTTAGAAACTACCTTGCTGTGGATCTTCCAGTAGATGAATGGGAGATTTTTCCTGAAAATATCACTTTAGATAAGAAAATAGGTGAAGGTGCATTTGGTACAGTTTTCATTGCAAAAGTTAGTTCTCAAGTTGTTGCTAAATCAAAGTATGCAAGACAACAATCTGGAACTGCTTTATTTGATAAAAAGGAAGACTCTTTTATAAATGTTGCAGTTAAACTTTTAAAAGGTTTTATTTTCAATTAATTTTTTTATTTAAGTAATAATTGTTGCTTTGTTTTTTTATTTTATTTTTTTTGTGAAAAGGTTCTTTTTAACAAATTAATCTCCAGTAAGGCTGCATGAAACCAATTCTTAAGTAAGGAGTTATCAGAATGAAAAAAAAAGAGTTATAGTGCAAGATGACAAAAAACTTATAGAACTATGTTAAACTTACATCATATACTAAAAATTTTGATTCAAGAAAGCATGAACAACAAAAGCATCTGGGAGAATTTCTAATCATCAGTATGCAAGAAAAAATAATTTTATTTTTTTCACATAAATGCTGTTTTAAAATTTAAATTTAATATTACACATAATGAAGGATATTTATAATTATATCACCAGTATTTGACATCACAAAAATGCTGTATTGAAAAAAATTATTATTTTTGTTTGATTTGTTATCAAACCTAAGTTTGACAACTTTTGACATTGTTATGGATAGATTATCTTTTGACTAGAGACGCAATGTATAAATGGATTATAAACACTTCAGCTGGGTACAATTACAGTACTAAAACATTGGTGTTCATGATGGGTTTCAATAATATATAGATAACAATGTGATAGTCCAATTACCCAAAAGTTTGTTAAAGCCAACTCTCAGCTTTTTTAGAATATTGCGATATAATTCTATGATATACTACTGCAAAAGAGTTATTTTTAGAATTCCAGGTTTTAAAAAAAGTTTTTGATTTTATGCAACCTAATTAGTTTTCATTACTTTGTTGATTGTTCTGACAATCCCATCTATTAAGAACTTCTGGGTTATTTAGTTTTATAAATATTTCCCACCCATTTGTGTATTATAATCCCCTGTTTATAGACACTAATAAAAAAAGTCTTAAAAGAGTGTCTAATAAACAGGGGGTCATCATAATCATTAATAAAAATTTTGATATCTTATTATGATCTTATAAAATCATTACCTTAAGGTTGAATTTGCAAATGGAAGGCTAAAATCAATTACTGATTGGGAGGGCCGACACAAAAATGATGAATCAGAACTACTAATTTGGGTACATAGCCTTTTAAGAATAGTTATCTCTTTTTTGAATATGATTCTTAATTAAATAATAGAAATCAGGTCCTTCAGTGTAAAATCATCAATTTCAAGCAAAACTGTATCATCTATATCTTCCTCTAAAGTATATACAAAAAAAAAAGTTTTACACAAATGTTATAATTGTAAAAATACTTGCTTTTCTATATACTTGTATTCAATGTAATACTTGTATTTTATATAATGTAATACAATGAATACAATACTTGTATTTAATGTTATTATTTTTATAAAAAAACCCATGAATACAAAAATGAAAACAATTTTTATTGTTTTAAAAAAACTTGCATTCTTTTTTTCAAAGCAATTAATTTTATATAAAATATATTGATAAACATTATACAATAAAACAAATATTAATCATTTATTGTTAAACATAGTAAATAATAAAAGTTTTTCAAATTTTTAATTTTTTTTTTTAATTATTAATGATCAGTGTCTTTTATCTGCGATCTTATGTACTTTATCTTGTTTACTAGACTTTAACTCATCTTGTTTACTAGACTTTAACTCAAGGAGTTTAAAAAGGCAAATGCTTGTATTGTATATATTGTATATACATTTTTAAAGTTAAGTTTGATACATAATAATTAATGGAGAATCAGATAAGAATAAGTTGCAATATTTATCTCTGCTATGAATTATATTATGTGTTAATACAAACAATTAAAAAGTGTTGCAACACCTGACTTTTCAAAGCAATTAGGTATCTTACTGGTGTTATATAACCATCAAGTGGTTCAGGTGAAGCTTCACTTCCAAAAGATTGAATGCATTATGTGCAAAAACTGTGAGTAGGTGCAAAGGTTTCCAATAAAATATCATTTTTCAGAGTGTGTTAGCACATAAGATATGCATACAAAAATAGGAACACCATCAGTAAAATTCTAGCTAGTAAAACAAAATAGTCCTTAACATAATAAGTTACATGGTTAATAGATATACTTGAAGCTTTAAATATTTTACTAATATTATTTCGAATTTTGAATTGAATTCTACTATTATATTGAATTGAATTTTCTGATAGTGAATCAAAAGCTTTCATTATTTGTCAGTTTTGGTTCATTATCAGTTGCATGCGCTCTTCTTTTATGCAGTTGAAAATTGTGAAGCTTTTTAAAACTTTTATTACATGTTGAATAATATGTTATTCATTTATTACATGTTTAATAACATGTTATTCTAAAGATTTACTGTTGTTAACAGCAGTTAATCTTTAGATTAAAGTCATGTAAGTGGTCAATTTAAAAGTGTTTTTACAAAAGTGCTTTCAACCTTTTATTTATAAATATTATTAAAACACCATGTTCATTTTTTAACCCAATTCAGCAATATCTCACTGTGCTAATTTGTTAACAAATAGGCTGAAAATCTAGAAGGTACCTTTTGTTCAAAACAAGTGCAATACAGAAAACTTGCCAGAAGCTCATGTTATAGAGGATTTTAGGGCTGTGTTTAAACAAGATGTATACAAAGATGAATGGTCTACAAATAATATATCAAGCTTTTAATGTCGGATTCATTATTGTGCCAGTAGGCTTGACCTAAATGCTGTACAAAAGCTGGTAGAAGAGACCAATGTACAGGACCAATGCTAGACTTCATCCACATTAAAGATATGGAGTCTTGTGATGAAAATTTTTTTGATGTTTGTATTTTGCATTTTTGTTTACTGCATTTCATTCTATGCACATATCAAAAAAAAAATTTATTGTGTTTATTTTTATTAAAGTTTAAAGCCAATCTTAAATTTAGTACAGGTGGTACAGGTGTTATTAATAAGAAATACCTTGAGTATTGAGTTGTTTTAAGATTTTTAATTGGAAGTTATTAAAAAAGTTTAAAATAATATTCATTAAATGCAAGAAGCATATAAATAAAATGAAGAAACCGAAAAGCAGTTTTTTTTCAAATATATTTAGTATCAGAACTGCTGAGGAAAATGTAAAAGTTTACAAAAAAGCAACAATTAAAACTAGCTAACAAAAAGTTACACTCACTTGATTTTTTTTTTTGAAATTAAAAGCGTTGGATTTGAATGTGTCCATGGAATTGAAAGTGACTATTAAGTAATTTATAGGATTAAGTTCCTATTCCCTGAAGTACAGCAAATAGGAATTTTATCCCATATTCAAACCACATGAAGAACATAGCAGATTCTACAAAATAGTTATTTATCTGAATCCTACTCAGAATTGTAAGTTTTAGATCTCAATCCAAATCAGGATTTTTAGTATAAAAAGTACTTTTAGACTATGAAACCATGTGTGAAATAAATTCTTTGTAATTTTTTATATTAGCGAAATTTAGTTTTATTTTTTTTCCTTTTATTATAATTTTTTTATAACTTCAAATCACCAGTTAAACATTTATTATGCAATAAAAGATTAACAGATTTTGTTTGGATTTTAACACTGAAATAGTCACTAAATCACAAATACATTTTTTTGTTTGTTGTTGAATCAAAGACACAAAATTTTTGTTTAGCAGTATAAAATAATTATTTTTATTAATAGATTCTTGTTTTTAGCTCAGTACTTTGTACAGTTTTATGAGCCATATTTTGAAATCATGATTTTTTTTCTACAGGTTTTTTAAAATTATATTGATGTAAAATTTTCTTTGATTGTTTGAAAAAAAAGTCTTTATTTAAGATCTTTATCTGCAACCCTCGGAATCAGAAAAAATGAGATCTGCAATAAATTGCCAACCTCAAACTATTAGACATTGGCATCAGGTTGGCAAAAAAAGTTTAACACAAAGGGGTTACCATAAGACATAGAAACGAGGTCGACAATTTTTTGCCAAGATCAAACACTTTAAGGTAGACAATTAGGATAACATTGTCAAATGCTGACTTAGAGGTCTGTTTTCTATCAATACAATTGTTTTGTTACAACAATTGTTTTTTTACACCTGTTTTCTATCAATACAATTGTTTATTACACCAAAAAGATTTCAAGTCATTTATAATAAAAAATTTTGCTAACTTCAACAAGTTAAAAAAACTTCATAAAACAAGTTAAAAAAACTTCATTGGCGTAAGTTATTTTATTATGTTGAATTTTGTATGTTGACTTGATGTTCTGTATGGTGAATCAAATCTGGATTTTCTAGTTTTATTTTACTTATGATGCATTCATGAGATTTTAATTGACTCAAATTAAAATAAATTCTTCTGTAAGCAAGTTAGAGTCTTGATGACAAAGTGCTTCTGCTTTATATTTTACAGGTTCTTAAGCCTTGACTAAGTATTTAAGAGTTTGCTCAGTTTGACAAAAAGTTTGTTACTAAAAAAATTGAATTCTAATGTGCTCAATAGGTTTAAGTTTATGAGTTTTGATTTTTTATACCATTTGAAATCATTATTTTTAATAGTATACAAATTTTTTTAGTATATACAAATTTTTTTGAAATTTATTATTTATCATAAATAAGTCTTCCTTTGGAATTATTTATGATAAATAATTCTAAAGAAAGCTCTAAAGGTTCTTTAAAATTGTTTTCAAGTTTTGCGTAGCTTAACTATTCTCTAGACTCTTTACTTTCATCCTCATAGTCATCTTTATTGTTATCAATATTATTATTTTAGTTTACAAAGTTTTATTTGCCTTCATATTAAGTAAATCATACATTGCTAAATGGATTGCATGCACATTGCAGATGGAATGTAGTGGCTTGATTAATTAAAATAACAACAACATTAAAAAGTTTAAAATTCCAATTTTAAATTAACCTTTCACTTAATATCTTAATAGCTTTTTCAGATGGCAATATTATGTATAAATATTCATAATAATAACAACAACAACAACAAAAATAGTAATAATAATAATAATCATAATAATGATAATATAAAGAATAAAGAGTTGTAAGTAAAAATGGGAGCCGGTCATGCTTGT